AATTTTAAAAACACGCAATGCTGTAACCATTAGGAGCCACTCAGACACTGTGCTGAGCAACTCAGGCTGCTGCCAGGAGCTGCTGCTCCACTAACACATTAATAACCCAGGCAGCTTTGGTGATAACAGCCTTGCAAGCACAGGGGAGTTACACTGTGGGTTGCTTTTTTTTTTTTTTTTTTTTTTTTTTTTAAATACACCCATTTTAATCTGATTCACTTCATTCAGATTTTGTTATTGATCACCAATCTTCGCGGGGCTGTGCAGAAGTTACTTGAAGTGTGAACAACAGTTAAGGTGCACTGTCACCACTTCTGCTCCTCTCATGAGCCAACCCACTCTCACAGACCCTGCCTGCTTCCCATCACAGCTGTGTTCTGCCATTTCTCCAGGACTCACACTGAGGAAACCCACAGTCTGGTATTTCCTCTCAGCCCACTGACAGAGCCAAAGTTAAAAACAAAAAAACGCCATTTAGCTGGGAGTTTCTATTTCATGGAGCTGCCTAACTGTAGGCAAGTGAAAGGACACAGGTACGAAAAAATACTGATCACCTTTAAGTCTTCCAGTGTGCATCAGCATCTTGCCACCTGCAAGAGACCCACATGAGTTTCTGTACATTCTTACTTAGCTTTCTCTCCAACTAAAAATTGAAGATAACGCATTATCCCCGTTATTGTTAGTGAATCACAAAGCATCACTGTCACATCCCCAGGTATTTTTAACCAGGACTGTAAAGAGAAAGGAGTTACAACAACAGAGCAACCCCAGCTCCTGGCCTTTGCTGAGAGCAAGAGATCTTGTCTACAGCTCTGCTTGCCCCCCTCCCCAGAGCTAGCTGTGGCTTTTTGTTACTGAATGAGATCCAAACCTCGGCACTGTTTAATTCCTGACACTGGATACAGCTTCACCAGCGTGGCTTCCACCTCTGCCCCGACTCCTTCCTGCCCTTGAGGTAATTTCTGTGCCATTTTCACAACATCTACTTCCAACCTTCCTCCTGCCTGAAAGCATACACAGAAACATGAATGGCAAGCATGCAATCTGCACGGAGACACAGCACAGAAACTTGCACCTTGCACTCTTTTTCTATGTAAATAATGCAAGGATCCTGCGGGAACATGCCAGGGATTGGAATTTTTAATTAATGGGTCTCTTTAATGTGCAAATCAGGAGCAGATTGCAAATTCTGACTTGCATTGATTATGAAAAACATTAATTGAACGTGCAAGACCCCAAATGGAGGCAACATCTCAAGCCCTGGACCAGACTAGGAGATACGGTGTGAAAGAATACAAACGTATCTTGGAGAAACAGACTGCCCTGGGCAGCAGCACCTCACAAACACGAGCTGTGGGAGCTCACGTGTGCAGTGCATTCACAATTTGCACTGCCTCCAGAGCGCAGCCGCCGTGGTTTTGGTATTAAGAGAGCTCCCCGACTCTCTCCATGGATGCAAAGCAGGAAGAAACACGAGCTGCACGGGCACAGCTGCCATGTGCAGGTAAAAAGGAGGACTGGAAAAAAAAAAAATCTGGGATATAATTAAAGATTAGGAAAAAAGAAAAAGTAACACGGCACAAACAAAGCAATGCTGTCTCTTTAAACAGGAATTCATCCTATATAAATTATGGCCATAAACTTTTCCTGCAGCGCAGCCTAATTAATTCTTGTTCTATACACAAAGGGAAATGCTGGGTGACAAATGGGTGTGAAGCCTGAAAGCTGCCAGGTCTGCAAAACATTTTCTACTTCAATTTATAAGCAATTTTGCAGTAAATCATCCACCAGAACCTGAGATCTCAGGAATCCAAGATTGTCCAAGGTACGTCTTTTTTTTTTGTTTGTTTCCATAAGAGATTACAAAAATAATAAATTAAACATCAGAGTTTTTCCTAAGATGCAACCTCAGAATTTGGGAAACACGTGTGACCTTACCATTTTTGCTCAGGTTTGGCTGTAAAACTGCAAAAGCACGTACATCACTGCTGCCTGCTCTTCAACACCATCAGTCAGTCCCCGGGGAGCCTCGCTGCCACCACCAGCCGCACAAAGAGCTGTCACAAGTGGGACACGCCAGCAAGGCAAATAGAGGAGGGCTGTTTTCCACCTCAACAAACTCATCTTTCCTACAGGCAGAGAGCAGAACCTTCACAAGCAAGGGAAGGGCTTTGGATAACACCAAAAGCTTGCTAGGGAAGCTCTGAAAGAGGTGTAAGAGACCTGTGTGCCTAGAGCCTGCAGCACTCCTAGCACAGAGCCAGGACTTGGGGCAGCTTCACACACCAGATCATTTCCTCTCATTCAGAGGAGATCATGAAAGCATGCCAGATTTATTTTGTGGATTTGGAGGGAATTGCTGAGGCTTCCCTGAAAGGAGAGGATCATCCATTCCAAAACAGTGTCAATGTCATGATTATCTTAAATCCCATCCAAGTCTGAAGCATGCTACGTGCAATGGAACAAGCTCAACATCCAGCATTCACAAAGCCTTGCCTTAAACCCATGATAAAATGATTCATTTTTAAACCTTCTCGTGCCCAATTCTTTCATTCTTTTTCCTGTCTGGAAAATGGACTCCTGCCCACGAGCTGATAACAACTGAGAGGAGAACGCAGGAGTGCAGAGATGTACACCCAGCCCATCACCTCACTCTTTAGAATTGAGTTTCTAGAAGTTCATTTCTATTAAATCCAATTTCTAGAAGCTTATTTGTATAGAACCCACCAAAGCTCTCAATCAGAGCTCCTTCTGGAAGCTGACTGATGAAAAGTGAGACTGCCCTCCTAAATCAAGGTCCGTCAAGAAAAGCTTTAAATAGATTACAATATAAGTATTTCTTTTTTTTTAATTGACTTAATTTCACTCACTGAAACTAAGGCTTCACAGTGCTGAGCTCCCTAACAGAAACCATGCCACAGCTCAGGCATGCTGGGCAAAGCCCCTGCTGAGTTGGAATGTCCTAGATCCATCACAGGGCCCAGCACCACCAAGATGGGGAGAAATTGGTCACTGTCACCCACTGCGCCCCCAGACTCTCCTAAAACCTGCACACACAAAGTTGTGCCTCGTGTTTCATGCTTGGCACTTCCCAACTTCTGGTACCAGCACCTCTGCAGAACAGAGAAATATCTGCTTGGACAACAGTGCAGATCATCACAAACAGCTGCTGGAACCTACATTACTGTACAATTACAGGTTGTATTTAAAAAATATAAAAAGAAGTTTAAACTCAGACCCTTAGAGAACACCAGCAAATGCTCCAACAAACAAACACAGCAGCATCACAATGTTCCTGAGCTCCTTACTCCCCACCCATCAGCCCAGGCACGTGCCCTGCTAACGCCACCCAGGTGGGTTGTTCTGCTGCCTCCCCACTCAACCTGGAACCTGAATACAGATCACCTGGAACAGCAGAGCAAACTGCTGCAACTTCCCTGTCTGGATTATGGAAACAGGATGGGCAGGGGATCACAGTGCAGCTATTACACAGATTTTCCTTTAACGTTCTGGACAACTGGCAGATTAACCTCTCTGCTGTTCTGTGCGTGGTATTACACTACGTGTTCCTGGATGTATTTTGCTTATGGGAAATATCAAAATGTCAACCATTGTTTCTGTTAAAGGTCTTTAATGATATTGCATTTTAGACCTGTAATGAAACATGGTGCTCAGTGCAGTTTGTAATGCATCTCATTAAACACATTAATAACATGCGTTTTACTGAAAGGTCAGCTTAGTATTGCTGGGAGCTCACCTTCTTTTCCTTAATCACTTCATTTAAAGCAGCTGAGTTAACTTTAAAACAAAGAGCCCCACCTGCTATAACTCCAGATAAGCTGATTAGCTGCATGCTCAGGTCAGGTGTGAGCTGTAAGATAATAGTCAAACCCTGGCACAGGGGCAAGGCCCAGGGTCAGGCTGGATTCACAGCAGAAGTTCTTAATGTAGTTTTAAGATAACTTGTGCCAGCCTAGGTCAAAGTCTCTCAAACACACTGGTATCGGTGTTGCACATACAAACTGAAGCATTAACAAATTAAACAGATCCACAATGCACTAAAGTTGAATACTTTGTGTTTATCAGCTGGAACATGCAGGTATTTGCCATGTTGGAGAATCTACTACACGTCTCATTAGATCATTATCATTAATAGTGATCCTAAAAACCAAACATCTGAAGTAACTCCAAACTGAAATGGTATTTGCTGTTGCTTTGACAGCACAGGCCCTCTCCTTTGTGCTGCATTACTCCTGGTTAGGACAAATCACTGCAATCACAGACCCAACATTTACACAGTGTCTCAAGACAAAGCAGCGCCCCAACTCCTCACTGAGCACTGATAACCAAGCCAGTTATTCCTTACATCCAACAGAGATAAATGAACTTCAGTACCCACAAAAAGTAGAAGCAGCAGCAGGACCCAAGCTGAGGCTCACCAACATCACATAAGTGACAACACAGGCTGCCAGAGAACAATTAGACATACAGAGACATGGCTGATGGGAGACATTTTCTTGGTCCGAGGTCAGAAATACTTCATGCTTGCACATCACCTAATCATAACAGCAGCAGAACCAGCACAAGGAGAAGCTGTTTCAAAAAGAAGAATGCTCACCTCTCTCTGAAGATCTACACTTGCAGAAGTATTCCACAAAGATCTTACTAGAGATCCTTCCTCAGTGGCAGTCAGCCCTTAAATGAGATTTAAGAGGAGTGGAGCCTGGCTCCACCCCTCCTGGTTGCACAGATGAATTGCCTCCACCTGTGCTCCCAAGGCTGACTGGCTCCTTTCTCCAGGTGCTCAATCAGTGGTCCAGGCTGTGACTCAGCAGCTCCCATACACTAATTAACAATTAAGGCAATATAAACTGACAGCTAATATTACAAACATACATAACTCAAAGCCCTCACTTCCCTATCAATGCTCTCTCACACAGGTAAAAACACATTGGCTACAGCAGACTCTACACAAAGTAAGAAGTTTGAAGAATTCTTACAGCTCTCCACAGCACTGTCAAATTCCTGTCCACCTTCCTTTCTGAAAAGGGGGAAAGTATCTGGCTGAGGAAGCCGGTTGGCTATTACAAGTGCCTTCTGCATCTTGATTCTGCCTTCCAAGATCTGATCCCACAACGCTTCATAAGAGAAAAGGGAAAGAAAAAAAAAAAAGTTATTTCATTTCACAAGACAAAGCACAAAGCACCCCTTCCCCATCCTATCAGTGATCCTGACCACAATCCTAATCACAAAAATTCTGTTTGCTTCTCTGGTTAGAAGAATAACTTGTAAATGGACGCTGGTAATTTGACTGAATAAACTGGAAGAAACTTCAGCATTTGAAAAAAACAGCACAGAACTAACAAAGTAAAGTCCCCCTTCCCACCCAAACTACAAGTATATTTAGTGCAGGTTCAATTAAGCCAGCAGATACACTCCATAACATTACATTTTGTAGGAATAGTGACACCAGCACGCACAGCACGTTTAGTGCAACATCTGCAAATGACATGGGCTGCTGCAACTCAGCAAGTTAACGTGCTGCAGTGTCTCCTCTAGCATGGGCAGCATCTGTAGTGTCAGCAAGGTGAATCTCATCAAAACACACAGTAAACATGCACTAACCTAGCTGATTCTTCACCGCTTTTCCTTTTTCCACCTCATCACTTGCTTGTCCCTTTGAGAACGTCATCACCCCCCCGTCATCCTCGTTGTCATTGGTGCCTTTTATGTGGTCGTGGTCTTCCCCCTCATATTTCTCATCATCATTTCCTTCTTCCATGCTGGCATCATCTTCATCTTCTCCATCACTGCTCCCAACGTCATCCATCCCCTCTGCAAATTTCTCAAAGTCCGTGACATTCTGGAAACTGAACTTTGGTGCTTTGGCAGAGGAACCTCTCTCTCCATCATCTTCCATATTATCCTCCTGGTCACTGCCAGCACTGCTGGCCTGCTCCTCTGTTTTACTGCCCAAGCTGCCATTGTCTTCTGAATCTTCACTGCCACTATACCATTCGCCTAAGGTTTCTTCAGCTATTAATTCAAAGAGAAAAAAGATCTGTCACTCTGCAGCACGCATCAACAATGGCTACTGATCTGAGCAGCAAACTCTGTTTTATTTTTTGTTTTGACCAATTAATGAAAAAAAAAAAAAAAGAGACTATATCCAGGAAAAGATCTCAACTCTCATCTTCTGTGACAATAATTAGTGACATAGTAGTCAAACTAGGTGGTCACAATTTGCTTTACATATCTTTAAAATAAGATACACTTGCAGTCCTCAAGATCCACGGGCCTTAAAACGGCAACTACTTCTTTCCCTCCACACAGCATTCAGCCAGGACTCAGAGACATTCACAGCCCCTCTCACCCTGAAGCAGCAGCCCTCTTTTGGGGATTTCCTTTTCCTTATGGTCAAAATGGCCTGAATTTCAGGAGGGCACTCCAAAAAGACGTCCAACTTATTTGTATCTTTTTACAAACCTCTGCCAAGTTCCTCACCTCAGCTGAGATGGCCCTAATTCAGTCTGGCATGCTAAAATTATAAACAGTGTAACTAAAAGCGTAAAGAAATAAGATTTCTTACCAGATCCTTCTTCAGACAGAGCATCTCCCCAGAGCTCTTCCTGCAAGGCTTTGCGAGATGTTGCTTTTCCACTGTACCTTTTATCAGCTTCTAAGAGGGAGGCCGAAGCTTTTTTCCGTATATTACCAACAGGTAAAATGTCATCTGCAGTCTCATCCTCAAACCTGTCAATCACTTTAGCAACTGTGGCTGCAGGAAAAGAAATAAAAACGGAGGAAGGTTGTCTAAACCAAACTGAACTCCAGGCCAGAAGCAGCTGCAGAAAGCAGCCATCCTCCTGCGTGGGAAACTCCTCACACCTCTACAAAAACAGGCTGTAAAGGTGAGGTGGATGGCAGTGCTTTATTTTGAACGAGCACTGCCTGCATTCACACCTTTCTCCCCATCTCCTTTTCCTTTTAGAGAGCACACAGCAAGCTGCGTGCAGGTGAAGCCCATTGAAGCCCTGCCACAGAGCCCTGCCCTTCACGGGGCGCTTCGGAGCAGTGCAGTGCCCAGGACTCACAGCACTGAACGCCTTCACTTTGTGCTCAACGAGTCAAAGAGAAAAACTGCGATTCTGACACACGTTTTAACCTCTGCCCATATACCTGAATCACATAAATGCACAAACATTTCTGGACGGCTAAAGAGAGAAAACAACCGCACTGCAATTTTTGCTCTTCTCGTACCTCCCCGCTGTTCCGAAGCGCCGCTTCCCCCACCCGCCAGCACGGAGAGCCGCAGGTGCTCAGCAGGGCCCGCCCGGCTTCGATGGACGCTTCTGGGGCCGCTTTTCCAGAACTTTCCAACGGGATTCGGTCCCGGCCTACAGCAGAGCCCGCGCGGAGCCGCGGCTCGACGCTGAGCTCGCGGAGCGCCGCGTGGCTCCGTGCAGAGCCATGGGCCCGCCCGGGGCTCCCAGCCCGCAGCGTTGCGGGTCGAGGCACAGCGGGGCGGCACTCCGGCCCGAGCCGCCCCATCCCCCACGGCGGCGGCAGCGGCTGAGGCTCCACGCCGCCACGTGCGGCCCCCAACCGGCAGCCCCCCTAACCGGCCCCGGCTCCGGACCGGCCCCGGCCGCATGGAACCCTTCTCCGATCCCCTCTCACCTTCCTCCGCGTCGTCCTCGGGGTCTCGCAAGTCGGGCCGGGGGTTGAGCAGCTCCTCCAACTGCTGCGCTAAGGGCGCCGCCATCTTCCCGAGCGGAGGGGGGCGGGGTCTGGCGGCGCGCAGGGTCCGGTAGGGGCGGGGTCTTGAGTAGGCGTGGCCTCGAACGGGCGTGATCTGGATGTGGGCGGTGCCCCGGTGGAGGCGTGGCCTAAGCGCTCCGCGCGCGGCAATGGTGCGTCCCGCGCCCCTCGTCTTTTGTCTGCGTTGAAGTGCGCGCGGTGGTTCGAGCGGAAACAACCGCCATAAAAAAACCGAAATCCACCATCCGAGCCCTCCGGTGGGTCGGGCTGTCCTCCCACCGCTACAACGGGGAGAACGCTCACCCTACGCAAGCGTGTTGTGAGAATTCGTACGTGCTGAGTGCTCCAGAGCTGGAAAGCAGAGAATGACGGGCTCTTACGGCACAGCTGTCTTATATAACTCACTATGCTACTATTCTTCTTTCCCCCCCAATCAGCACATACCGGCAGAGTGCTGCCATGTGAGCTGTGGAGCACTGCCCACACCTGTGCTGCATCCCACACCTCTATGCGGGGCCCCAGCAAAGCAGTGCGGGATGAGCGACCCCATGAGAGGCTGGGAACCCCCTCCCAGCCCCCAAACACAACTGGAAACGGTGGCTGGGAATAGAGGGTGGTGCACCTCTTGTAGAGAGTGAGAATGGACCCAAATCGGCTTCTCAAACATGAGCTGCAGATGGGGGCCCAAATCTCCCACCCGCACAGGAAGGGCCCCATGAGGTCTGTTTCGACCCCATGTTTGTGGTGGCACTGGTGGGTTTGTGATGCTGCTAGCAGCAAGCTGCAAAGTTCAACTTCATCAAGCAGGCGGTTCACTCGTCCCCTTCCTGCCAGCACCCGGCTCTCCCTCACTGCTTATCTGCTTCTGAACGTTACAAAGATTAATCCCGACATGCATTCTAATTAGAGCACAGGAAGGCTCAGGCCAGGCCCGGCGCTTCTCCACGGCTCCGGGATCCACTTTGGTTCCCCCGAAGCAGGAGCGTTCAGTGCAGCCGCTCGTCCTACAGAGGGCAGAGGAATATCATTAATTACGGGCCCGGCGGCTCCCGCTCCCTGCCGGCCCGCACGGCACCCGCAGGAGGAGCTCGGGGGGCATTTCGCCCCTTTCCCCCCTCCCCGGTGCCCTACGGCTCCTTAGCAACCCCTGCAGTACCGTCTGCTGTGAGGATTGCATCTCAAGTTATGCAAAAACTAATGCTTGCTGGAAATGCACGTTATCATTACAAACAAAAGCCTTGGATTTTATGCGGTCAAATATTACGATTCTATTTCAGCTTTATTTTGTATTTATTTTCTCATGGTCTGAGTGACAGCTCTGATGCTCTGCACTGTATTTTAGGTGGGTTTGCTTGTTGCTGCTGTGATGTGAAATTAAGGCTCTTCCACGACTGTTATGCACAGATTTCCAAAGCAGAAGGTGCAAACCACCTTTGCTTTTGCTTTATTTCCCCTCCAAGTTCACAGCCGTGTTGTTTCCAGACTAAAAGATGCTGTTACAAACAAAGGCAGGAGAAATAAATCCAGAGGAAGTGAAGGAGCAGAAACAAATGCTTACCTGAGCAGCTCCTGGGACGTACTCAGCCAACCACAGAAGCACTGGTGATTGCCCCATGCATAATTGCATTTTCAAAGCTCTGCACTTCATGGATGAAGAAGGGATGTTTCCAACCCAACCCCAACAAATGATAAATCCCCCCTCAACAAAGGCAGTGCTTCATCAGAACGTGCCCAGTGCAATCCCTAAGCAATGCACAGCGAGTTGCATGACTTCTGTAAGTAAAAAATTGGCTTCAGATAAGGACATCAAGCAGAATCTGTGGTATTAAAGTCCAGAGTTGTTAAAATGTTCCACCTGCACAGGCTCCTTCTTCACAGTCCATTCTCTCTCTTTTTGCCTTCCACTTAGTGGGGTCATTAAACCAGGCTCTCAGACTCAGTTTTAATTTCTGGTTCGCATGCCCTCAAATCACGCTGCTGTGGATTTGGCTCATAACCATTTTTTGGACAAACACGATATCCAAACACTTGAATTTCAGACCACCACAAATGCCTGTTCCTGCAGTGCATCCCACCAAGCCTTCCAAGCTTAGAAGCTACAGGCAGGAGCCATCAAACTACCCGACATCGTTTCTTCAGCATGCTTGCTCTTCATTTTACTTTTCATTTACACGCTTATCTGCTACAAGGGGAACAGACCCCACGCACGTCACAGATAAACACAGGGACTTTCGCACTACAAGCAGAACTTTCCATTTCTCCCACGTATTGGTGGAACATTTCATCTTCCAGGAAACTGCCCGATTCAGAGGCAGCTCCGGCAGCGAAGGGCTCACACTGCTGTGTCTGTACCCTCACACGTTACTCACAGAAATCCTCTTTTTCTTTCAGTGCATTTCTATAAAGAAAAGCAGCCATCCGTCCCAGGGCTCCGGGAGACCCACGCAGCAGCAGCACCCACACACACTGTGTGGCATTGGCAGCAGCAGGACGTGACCCATCCACGGATGCTGTGTGCCCCAGCACGGCCACCAGCCAGCACAGAGCTGCTCTTTCCTACATTTTGGCAAGCCAGTGTCATTTTCCAATCCGTCCTTTTCTTGTTTTTGCCGCACTATTTTATTCTTAGATGTTCTTTTTCTATCAGCGATTGATTCGTTGGTGAAAAAAGAGAAAAAGAAGAGGAAGGAGATGGAGGAAAAAGGAAAGAGCTCACACCAAACCCATCTGCTACAAGGAAATACATTGCAGTGAATTTAGATGTCTGTAATAAAAATCTCTCCCTATAAATATTTGTTTCGACTTACAGATGGATTTATTAATGTACTTTGTATTTATTTGAGTACTTCCAATATCCCTAATGATCATTCAGTCAAAAACCACAACTGTTTCCAAGGTTTGATCAACTCTTAATTGTTCTTACACCTAAAAACGTAGTGAATACAGCTTATCCGCATAGACACACGGACTGAGGATGCTCCTAGCAGACAGGAATTTTAAGGCCACTCAGCGACAGCCACAGAACCTTTTCAGATGGAGCAAAAACCTCTTTTTCGCCCCAGAGAAATCTCCCAGGGTGAACCACGTGTGTGTGCTCTCTGGAGCACCGAGAGGAACGCAGCAGGAAACCTCAGCACACACAGCCCAGCCCCACGGAGCAGCTTCTGTCCTGAGGCTCCCCCTCCACCTCTCCCCGCACCCAACACGTGTGGCTGCAGCTCTGACACAGGCACTGCTCGGGCCCTCGAACCACCGCCGTCCCGTTAACGGAGCTGAGCAGTGAGTGCCAAACAGTGAGACACCATCAGCCTCTCCAACAGCAGCCGTTCTGCAGGAAGCACACTGGTACTGAAACCAAGCATCAATCCAGTTCTCACAGCTCCCAGTAACGCTGCCCAAAGAGTGCACCGAGCACCATCAGAGCACACACACAGCCCTGAGCTGGGGTCTGCGATGCCCCTCCGCACTGAGGATGTGTGCAATGGGAGCAAGGCAGCAGCCAGCTCAGGGATTAGGTGGGTAAAGCACAGTGCAGTCGGTGAGAATGCCCTTCTGGGGCTGCGGTGCGGCCAGCACACTCCTGCCCAGCAGCCACACAACGCAGGGCTGCCCTTCCTCCCATTAATGAATGAAAAGCTCTCCAGACAACAAGCAACTCGGCGTCGTAAGCCGGGTCTGTGACTGAAAGCACAACAAATACCGTTTTGAAAGAGGCAGACAGCAATCCCAAATGGATTCGTACTCAAAATATATTTCTTTAATGGTCCCATTAATTTTAGTTAGAACTTCAGGAATATCTTGTGGTCATCTGGAATACAGAGCACAGACATAAATAAAAGCACCTCTGTAATCTGCCTCGGCCCTACAGATACGCAGCGGTCGATTGTGCTGAACAGAGAGGAAAGTATACCTTAGTCTGTATGCTGGGATGGTAACAGAAAGCCAAACTGATTGCTTATATTTAGTATGTATGAGCATGCAAGGCTTAAACACAACATTCCTGCTCGGGGAAAAACTCTAGGCCACTTCCTAGAATAGCAGGAGCATGTAAATCACCGCTGATACTTGTAAATTATATTTATTTATAGATTGGTATCATGCACCCGTCACTCAGCGCCTGGGTACAAATACACGCATTAAAATAATATACACCATTTGGCCTCAAATCTGAGTTTGAGTACCTTCCTACTCTCGGGGTGCACGGCTTTACAAATCCCCTCCCGCTCCCCACGCCAGGGCCTGAGCAAAGTGGGAATGGGAAGGAGAGCAGCATGGAGGGCAGAGAGGAGCCCTGCAGGGCCAAAGCGGCGCTTCTGAGCGCTGTGGACCCACTGCATTCTAAAGGCGCTTTATCCTGCAAAGTATCTCCTTCAAATAAATGAGCTCAACATGAATAATACTCACAATGTCTTCCCAGTGTCTAATAAAGCAGTACAGTCCTACGTGTGGGATTGCAAAACCTTCAGCGTCGCCCATGTATGCAGAGATCCCCGTCCGTGCCAAAGGACGTCCCGCTCCATGGGGCAGCTCTGCAGTGTGGGCACCGAGCAGCCCCACGGCACCGCGCTCTGCTGGGGGGGGACGGCACCAAAACCAGGAGCAGCCGAGGGAGAAAAGATCAGAGCCATTATTCTGAACGCACTTTGGGAAGCACGTTGCACACACACAGCCATGGACGTGGCACGGCCGCCTCGCTGCAGTGGAAGAATTAATATGCGCACTAAAAGCCCTCCAAGCAGCACATGTGTTCCGAGGGCCTCCTCCTGCAGCCCTCCATTCACGCAAGTAATGCTACTGAAGTCAATGGAAATGCTCTTGTAAACGAGGACTTACAAGAACCCGACGCCACAATGATTTCAAAAGGAGTTTTGACTCTGCGATTGTTGCTGGATTAGGGTCCTCAGAAACACCCAGCGCCGCTCTGAAGAGCACAGAATTCAAATCTGCAAAGGGCTGGGGCCTCCACGCTGCATCCCGGGAGCTGTGATGGGCACGTTTGGCTTTGAGCATGGGAACCACTGCTGGGTTGGCTCCTTGTGATGGCAGAGCTGCTCCGAGAGCGAGCGGCAGCGTGGGGAACAAGGCAGGCTCTCCTGCGTCCCTTTAGAAACCGGTGACCTAAACTGAACCACATCACATCCCTGCCTAAATTAGCATGAATAAACCGTACGAACATCCCGGTGCAGGGAAAAAAAAAAAGAAAAAAAAGAAAAGAAAAAAAAGAAAAGGAGAAAAAAAATAAAGAGGGAAAAACCAGTTGGCAGACATGATTTCTGCAAAATGAGATCCTCGTTTAAAATAATTGATTGGACAATAAAACAGCAGCACAGACCGGTAGCACAAATAGCAGTATTTATAAACAGCGTTTGCACAGAGAAGTAAAAGTTTGTAATGAAGAGATTACCCCTTGTATGCTCATGTAAATGCAAAACAGAGGGAAAAATCACGGCAAGGATACAAAAGGCAAATGGATGAGCCAGGCGCTGAGCCTCGAGGTTAAGAAGTCTCCCTGCCTTTAATAAACTGTTTGTTTAGAAACACTACCAATGGATCCCTGCTGCTTTTTGTCTTTATAGTATATATATACATGTATATATATATAAAAGACGTTTTGTGTTGAAGGTGAACTATTGCTTCACCCGGACGGGGGCACAGCAACGGCGTGGGGAGCAAAACTGCCTCTGAAATTACAGATCGCACAAGTTGAGAGCATCGCGAGTTCAGAGCAAAGACGGAAAGCGCCCAAGTGCTGAGAGCGGAGAAATCTGCGCCTCACAGCGCATTTCCGCGCCGACAGAAAATAAAACAGAAGCCCGACGGAATCACAATTAGCAGAGAGATGAAGGGAAAGACGCAATTACCGCCCCGCCATCCCATTATCGCAGCGGGTGGAAGGCGCTGCGCTGAGCTGCGATGCTGCAGAGCCGAAGCGAACCCTCCAACGCCGCCCGAGCTGCAGGACTGCTGCAGGGAGCCGTAACAGAACCGCCACACCTGCGCGGCTCCGGGCTGCAGGAAATCCTCCTTTGGTTCATTTCTGTCCCAGAAAATCCGCGTGCTTCTCCTGCCAAACCCTGCCGAGCGCTCCACAAATACTGCAACATCAAACGATTGAGTCCTTGTCAGCTCCGAAATAAGAACAGAAAAACCACGCTGAGGATTTGCTGCTTCGCAGACCAGCCAATTACAAAAAGAAAAAAAAAAAAGGAAAAAAACAGAATGACCTCTCAGCAATTACAAGCACAGATCCGCACGCTTTTGCTGCTGCTCAAACACTTTTGTTACTGAGCACTCAGTGCTCGCCCTCAGCACAGCCCGGTTCCACCGCATCCCGCCGGCTGAGCAACGCGCGGAGCGGCGCTGCTGGGCTCTGCAGGGCACTGAGCTGCACGCACGGCTCTCTCGGGGCTGCTTTGGTTTCTCAGACACCCAATGAAACACCACTTATCTAAACATCCCATTTTCTAATTTTATTAAAAACGCACAAATTTTATCCAACATGTTTTCTTTCATACAGTGAATGGTCTAATATGCACTGGAGGTCACACAAGCTTAGGTTTATTAGAACAATAAAAGACATATGAGAAATTTAATATATAAAGAAAAAAGTAGCAGCTGTCGACTGCATATTTGACCATAAAATTTAAATATTTTGGACTTTCATTTTAAAGACACAAAAATAAAACCTGTGTGGGTCTATATAAGTCATATTAACAATTCCATGAATGTTCAACAGGACTAAAAATTAGCAAAGATGTTCGTTCTGTTCTGGTTTTAACCTTGTGACATTTGGAAACGCCTCTCCGGGTTGCTGGTGCGGAGCACCTGACAGTATTTGTGCTATAGATTCCCTTTATTTGGCAACGGTCTGGGATTCGCGGGTTTCTCTTTGCCTTCTGTAAACAACACCTTTGACAAACTAGCACAGTGAACCACAAGCCCTGCGATCGCTTTGTACATCTACAGAAAAGAAAAGGAACTATTTTGGTTGGCTGCTCAAAATATTTTGCTTTCGAACAAGAGGTTCTAAAACAGGATTTGTTAGTAAAACATCGAGCTCCTGAATTTAACGTTAGACGTAAACAGTTGACTGTTTTAGTTCAATAGAGTCTTTTCGTTTCGCTTTGCTCTCTTTGTGAAGGTAGAATGCTTTTTGTTCGTTTGCTTTTTGTTTGTTTTTTTTTTTTTTTTTTTGTTTTTTGTTTTTTTTTGTATTTTTTCTTTTCAAGTCATTCGCCTTAGAGGTCCGTTGGCGACCTTTGCTATGATGAGGAGGTTTTGTATGTGTAGCGTTGTGAAGGTAGAAGAGTTGGTGCCGAGGGCTCAACATTTAGCATTTGTTATTTGGGGAGGGAAACAAAAGAAGAAAACAACCACCGAAAAAAAGGAAAAAAAAAAAAAAAAAAACCCCAACAATAAAGGAAAAAAAAAAGGAGAAAGAAAGAAAAGTTGTCCCACCTGGTATTCAGCAGGCTGCAATGGCTGAAGCTAAAGAGTTTCTCGTGGTTGAACTTTGAGAGAGAAAAATGAACAAAGAAATGCGGAACGCCAGAACCATCCTTATCGGGAGCGCTCAGAGTTCTTGCAGCTTTTCCCCCTTTCCTGTCACCTTTCCGCCATTCAATCATTGTTTGTTTGTTTTTAAATGAGGAGTTTCTAAGGATTGTGGCTCTCGGGATGACATCCGACGGGGTAACCACACTCATCCATCCATCCCACGGCGCGTTACTGTACAGCTTCACCAGTTCCTTTGTCATGGCACACGCAGGTCCCCGTGGCTGTGACAAACGCACACCGGGATCGTCCCGCTCTGCAGCAGCGCGGAGCCGCCGGGCGCAGTTCGTTCCCAAGGTGCCATTGTCTTAGGGCGGGAGAGATGTTACATTTACTCATTTCTGTACACCGTAACAACAAGCAGACTAGATGATCATCACTTACTTAGACCCAGTTCGCTTAAAGCTACCACACGGCCGCTTCGTTCATTTCTGGTGGGTGTGACAAGTGATTGCCGTAGTTAGCACCGCCGTTGACGGATATCGAGGAGAACGGAGGACTGGGGCCGAACACTTCCGCGGACATGGAGTGCAGGGAGCCGGGCAGGGTGGGCTCGGGGCTGGGCGAGTCCCCGGCGGGGTGCGCCAGCATGTCGGGGAAGCGCTGCGCCTCTCCGGGCGGGTGGTGCCCGGGCAGCGGATGCTCCAACGCACCCAGCGGCGTGCCCGGCGGTCCGCCCGCCGCCCCGAACGGCAGCTCCACCGGCGTCTGCGCCTGCGAGGAGGGCGGGCCTTGCGGGAAGAACTCGTAGTTGCCCCCGGGGCCGTAGTACTCGCTCTGGTAATCTGGCGGCAAGGAGAGACACGGGCGGTAGCGCGGAGGACGAGCGCCCGAGCGTAACGGAGAGGAGGAGACGCGCGGCGCGGCGGGCGCGGGGTTGCGGGACCGCTATCGGCAGCGGCGCCACGAGACGCACCGCGAGCGGCGTGACGGCACGGCCGGGAACGGGAACCACGACGGCGAACCGCGCCCGGCGGCCCCGGGCTGAGGCAGCGCCCGCTGCGAGCCGGGCCCAGTGTGCGGCTGGGAGAGCGGCGGCCGCGGTTCGCCCGGCTGCGGTTCCCCCGGCCGCGGTTCCCGGCAGCTCTGCCCGCCCCGCCCCGCGCACCGGACGGAGAGCGGCAGCCGCGTACCCACCTCCGTAGAAGGAGAAGGGCCCGTTGGGGAGCAGCTCGCCGGGCTCCAGGCGGTCCACCAGCGGCCGCATCCTGCGCGGGCTGCGGAAGAAGGCGTGCCGGCGGGCGCCCAGCGCGCTCAGCTGCTTCATGCGGCGCTCCTTAGAGCGGCGGTTCTGGAACCACACCTGTGGGCGGGGGGAGGAAAGGCGGGTCGGTCACGGGCACAGCACCGGCAACCACGCGCAACCGCGGCGGGTCAGGAACGAGCGCGCTCCTTCCCGGCGCCCCGACCGGATGGCTCCCGCTCCGAGCATCTCCCCTCCAACCTCGCCTTTAATGGTCCTTCAACCCCCCATTACCCTCAGCGCCGCGGGTTTATAAACCTTTTAATAATTCCAGCGCATCGTCATCCTTATTTATGCATTAACCCCTCACATCTCCGCTTATTAATTCCGCTGCCGTCGGCGGCCCCGTTAGGACCCTCCTGCCGCGAGCTCCCGGGGCCGGAAGGCAGCCCGTGCCCGGTACCTGGATGACGCGCATGTTGAGGCCGGTCTCCTGCGCCAGCTGCTCCCTGATGTGCCGCGTGGGTTTGGGGGTGGCCGCGAAGGCGGCCTTCAGAGTCTCTAGCTGTTTGGCTTTGATGGTGGTGCGGGGCCCCCGCCGCTTGGCCCCCAGGTTCTGGTCGTCGTTCTCGTTGCTGCCCGTCTCCTTGTCGGACACGTTGGCGCTTTCCGAGTCCTTGGCGTCGTCCTGGGAGGGGTCTTGGGAGTCGGGGGACAGGCTGGGGTCACTGCCGGTGGTAGCTGCGGGCAGCGAAAGGCCGACAGTCAGAGGGGGTGCGGGAACCGGGCGGGGGGAGAAAGGAAGGGACGGGAGAGGGAGAGCCGCCGCCCCGCGCTCCCTCACCTGAATGCAGGCTGTTTTCTTTGGCAGTATTGCTGTTATTTAGGTAATCTTCTTTGCAGACGAACTTGTTTTCGTCTATGATATAGAGCTCCTCGCCGGTGGAGAGCTGCTTGTTGCACATCATACACGTAAAACAGTTCAAGTGGAACACTTTGCTCCGCGCCCTGCGGACCAGGTCGCTGGGGGAGATGCCCTGGGCACAGCCCGCACACTTGGTCCCGAAACACCTGCGGGGAGAGGCGGCGGGTCGGGAGGGTGCGGGGGCAGCGAGCGGGCAGTGCCGTGCGCCCACCCCGATGGGAGAGCGGCGGCCCCGGAACCGCAGCGAACCGAAACAAACGAAAACCAAACCGAAACCACGGTAAATAAATAAAAAATGCGTGCACACACACAAAAAACCCCAAACCAAACCAAAAACCAAAACAAACCCAACCCCAAATCATCCTTCCGCACCGTTCCCTTTTCCCAACGAATGCCCGCCCGACTTACACCTTGCAAAACGATAAAAGGAAATGCAATCACTGTGATGGGGACCAAGGGCAAACGCCGGGGAAATTAATTCAACGCAGGGGCGGCTTTCCCCTCCGTGCCCCGATAACGGCACCGAGAAACGGGAGCGGAGTTCGGCGCCGCGATGGCCGCGTAGGAGCGGGAGGTGCGGGGCCGCCCGCGGGCTGCGGCCGCTCCGCGTTGCGCTGCTGATGCACAGCGCGATGGAGCGGCCGGGCCGGACCGGGGCTCTGCGGCGGCTCTGCGGAACTCGGCCCTGCCGGGAGCTCCCACAACCGGGCCGCGACCCAGGCCCGCAGCGTTCCCCGCAGCGCGACTCCCCGAGGCGCGGCCACGGCCCGGCATCGCTCCGCGCAGCTCCGGGCGGATTCGGAAGCGCAGGGAGCGGCGGGAGTCGGAGCGCGGCCCGACATCACCCTGAGAACGGAGCTCTGCGGCGAGCGAAAAAATAAACAGGCGGGAAAAGATGGCAAACGGATGGAAAAGAGCCGCGGCTCCGGGCGGCGGTGGCGGTACTTACCGAAAGAAGTCGTTTTTGCAGTAAAGCTTGCCTTCTCGCGAAAAGCATTTCTCTGTCAAATTGCATTTACATTCACAGCACTGAACACACTTCACATGCCAAGCCCTGTCCAGTACATTCAACAAGAACCGGTCCAAGATTGGCCTTTTGCAGCCCGCACAGTGAACCATTGTCTTTGGTTATTTCTGAGAGTGGGGTATCGGCGTCCCAGATGGCAAGCGAAAAATCGAAATAAAAATAAAAAGACGACAACAACAGCGGCGTAGGTTTGCTTTTATATATATGTGTGTGTGTATGTTGTTATTATTATTATTAAAAAAAAAAAAAAAAAGAAAGAAAAAAAAAAAGAAGAAGAAGCCTTGGAGAAGCGGAAGAGAAGAAAAAGGACTGGAGGGAGAAAAGCCTTCGGTCGGTCGCTGTCCCAGGGCCGCGGGTTCCGGGCCCGGCCCGGCTGAGGCCGACGCGCGGCGGCGCAGAAATCGGCGCTCAGATAAAACGAAAACGGCGATAATTAAAAAACCGCCGAGAAGCGGTTGACGGTGACGAGTTTTTTCTCAGGTCTGAGGTAGAGCAGTCAGAAGTCAAAGTGCATCTGCTTTTCCCAAACAGAAATTAAAAGAGGGAAAAAAGAAAAAAAAAAAAGACAACAAAAAAAAAAAAAAGACGACAAGACGAGGACAGCACGGGCGCAGGGCATCGGGCCGCCCGCCGTCAGACGGGCGCAGGCTGCAGGCGCGGTGCCATGGCCCGAGCGGCGCGGAGCGGGCCGCCGTCCGTGCGCGGGGGG